TTGTTAAAAGGTGCAAAAGATTACCATTGGCACTAAAAACACTCGGTGGTGTCTTGCGAGGAAAGCTTCATCGTTCTGAGTGGGAAGATATATTAAATAGTGAGATATGGAGTTTGTCAGAAGATCGAAGTGGAATTCTTCCTACTTTGAGATTAAGCTACAATCATCTTCCTCCTCATTTAAAGCAATGCTTTGCTTATTGTGCTTTGTTCCCTAAAGACTATGAATTTGACGAAAAGGAGTTGGTTCTGTTATGGATGGCTGAGGGCTTGTTGCAGCAACAGTCGCATGGAAAGAAGCAAATGGAAGAGGAGATTGGTCATCAATATTTCCAAGAGTTGTTATCAAGATCACTCTTTCAACAATCAAGTGGAGTTGAATCACGGTTTGTGATGCATGACCTCATAAATGATTTAGCTGTAGATGTTGCTGGAGAAATATATTGCAATCTTGAACGTGATGAAAAATTAGAGAAGGCTCGTCATTTGTCATACACTCCACACCTTTATGAAATCTCAAAAAGATTCATAGTCTTGGATAAACTAAAGCCTTTGAGAACATTCTTGCCGCTGCCGCTAAGAGTGCTCAAGTACAGCCTTCACTTTGATAAAGTCTTGCCTGGTTTCATGCCAGTAAGAGGGTTCAGTTACAACCCTAACTCCTATTTGTCTAACAGAATCTTGCATGATTTCTTGCCAACTTTAAATCGCTTAAGAGTGTTATCTCTTCGTAGCTATCAGATAAGCAAGCTACCAGATTTTTTTGAAAATTTGAAACTTATCCGATACATTGATTTGTCTGGTACAAGAATCGAATGTATACATGAATCAGTGGGTTCTCTTCTCTTTTTGCAAACACTATTATTATCTGGTTGTGAAAAGCTTACTAAGTTGCCTACAACAATTGGGAATCTAATAGATCTCCATCATCTTGACATCACTAGTACGCCATCTCTAGAAGAGATGCCATCAAGAATAGGCAATCTTAAAAATCTTGTAACATTGCCCAAAATTTTAGTGGGAAAGGCAAGTGGATTGATGAGATTATCTGATTTGAAGAACTTGTCGCAACTTCGAGGAAGACTGTCTATTCTAAATTTGCAGAATGTTTTGGATGTTCAAGATGCTTGGGAGGCCAACCTAGACAAGATCCATGGTTTGGAACAGTTAGCCTTGGGGTGGACTGCTCTTGATGATGATCGAGATGAATCAATCCTCACCTGGTTAAAACCTCATTCAAATTTGAAAAGTCTCAAAATTTTTGACTATGGTGGCAAGAGTTTCCCAAACTGGGTTTGTGATCCATTATTTTTGAATTTATCATCCATGGAGCTCAGCTATTGTAAGAGATGCCCTTTGTTACCTTCACTTGGCCGATTACCTGTTCTCAAAGAATTGATTATTAAAGGCATGGAGGCAATAGAAGTTGTAGGTCCTGAATTTTGTGGGGGACAAGACTGTTTTCCATCATTGGAGATACTGGAGTTTGAAAACATGTTAAATTGGAAGGAATGGACTTCTCCAACTGGAAGTGAAGGTGAATTCTGTCGTCTTTATAGGCTTGCAATTAAAAATTGTCCTAAGTTGTTAGGACAATTACCTAGCAACCTTTCTTCACTTGAAGAGTTGATTGTTGAAAGGTGCAATGCGATGCTTTTGAAGAGTATGGTTGATCTCACTTCACTCACTAACTTGAGAATTGGGCAAATTTCAGAATTGACTTGCTTGCCTAAGAGTTTTACACAGTCCTTGACAGCACTTGAGACTTTGTATATTGAAAATTGCAATGATCTTACTTGTTTATGGGAGGAAGGGACAGAAATAGAACAAAGCCTCTTGCCTTTCAATCTTAAACATCTTAGCCTTCTATCCTGTAAAGCTTTGCAGTCATTACCCGATGCAATGATGATGAGGATGGATGGAAGCAGTAGCAGCAACAGTAGTATGTTGATGTTGAGACTGGAAAAGTTTGAAATTTGGGGTTGTGATTCTCTCAAGTTTTTTCCAAGAGGCAAATTACCCATCTCGCTTAAATACTTGAGAATAGTACACTGTAAAGGTCTTGAGTCTCTACCGGATGTTGATGGTGACAATAATAATAGCAATCTACATTTGGAAATAAGGAATGTTCCATGTTTGTATTCTTCTGAGGGTTGTCATCAACTACCAGCTTTTCTCAAGAAATTAAGAGTTGAAGATGGTGGCGAGCGGTCGGAATCATTTCCAGAGAAAATGTTGCAGCATTGTACGGGACTCCAAACCATTGATATTTCCAATTGTAAAATATTGAAAAGTTTACCCACCTTTAATTGCGTCAGCAATCTCGTTGATTTATCTATTTACTGCTGTGAAGCTTTAGAGTCCCTCCCAAGTACGATGTACCAGCTGAAATCTCTTCAAAGGCTAGCGATGATAGCTTGCCCCAGCATCGAGTTAATTCCGGAGGGGGGTTTGCCCCCAAACTTAACGCATCTTCAATTAAGATTGTGTAGGAATCTCAAGGGTGTGCCAAATACAATGTACCAGCTCACATCCCTTCAGAGTCTAACAATCCCAGGTGGGTCTTTGATGATGGGATTTGGACGGGAGCTCCAAAACCTTACGTCTCTTCAAAATTTGAGAATTGAGCAGAAGCTTCCTGCGGATATTGTGTTGCCTTCTTCTTTAACCTCTCTTGGGATCTATGGTCAAAAAAATTTGGAATCCATACCTAGTGGGTTCTTCCGAAACCTAAACTCCCTTAAATACTTGGAAATACTTCACTGCCGGAAGCTACGATCTTTACCAAGGGAAGGCTTCCCTCCTTGGCTTGGACGATTGCACATCAGCGATTGTCCGCTTCTAAAACGACAACACTTTGAAGAGAAAGGAGAATACTATTCTCTCACGTGTACGATTCCCTGCATTCGGATAGATCAGAATCAGGTAATAAGAGCTAATGTGAACTGAAACTGGCATCACCATTTTATACTTGTCACACGAGAATTTTGAAAAAGTAAAAGAGGTAACACTTTTCTTTGACTTGTGCTGCCTTTTCTTATAGATGCGTTGCAAATCCTTTTTTGTGCAGGTTGACTACTAGAGCTAACTGCCAGCTACAACCAATTGTTGATATGGTACATATAGCCAAGCCACTCCTTAATGTTACTAGTACTTCATTCATTCCTTGAATTTACTCTTATTTTTATTTTTATTATAATTTATGGATGATGAATTGAAGTTCATGTAAATTGCCCAGAACTTTTCTGAATAAAGCAAGCCTATAATCTGATCAAGTCCATATAGTTGCTTGCTTACACCTCTCACTTGTTTCTTGATAAATTCCTTGGATTCATCAGCTCTATATACACTATTTATTATCCACCTTAAAATTACTTTCCTCTGAAAACATGCATGCATTCAGTTGCCCCAAAAAAGGCTTATACTTTCAGATTATTTCAAAGGGCATTTAGGAAATTCACAACCACTAAGGAGGTTGCTGCTTGCAAAATGTTCTTAGGCAAGCCAACCAATTTCAATTTTAAATTCAATTACTACAGGAGCTCATGTTTTCCCTTTTGAAGAACTGGGAAGACTTTTGAAACAAGGAGTAGCTCATGTTTTCCCATTGCTTCCTTCTCTTGATTAATATATATTGGTTGCGTTAAAGACAGTCTAAATTTCTGTCATTTAGTCTCCAATTTTTAAAAAAGAAAAAATTTCCAGATCCTATGGATTTCTACAACTTTGTGTTATTATTTTACTTCAATTTCATTTCAATAATTCATGTATCCATCTTTCTTTTTTATGTTACAATTGATGCTTTTTGTCTTCTTCAGTAACAAGTGATCCTATATATTACTATGTGTGCTTGGCATTTTTTTCTGCATTTAAACTCTAAACGAATTATTTTCTCCATCTAATTTCAGTCTAGCCTTTCATTTTTCTAATTTCCCAACCTTTTTTTCATGTTCCCTGTTGCTTGAGCAGAGGACATAGCAAAATCTTGTTAGGCCTCTGTAGGACCCCTTTGTTTTATGACTCTCTTTTCCTTTTATTTATGTGCCAGAAGTTATCTTCTTATTCATCTCACATTTCCCATAATTTTAGTAACTGATTCCCTACAACTGTGTAATGTCCAACTTAGTTCATGTCTTGAATCTTATAGCATGTTATTAAACCCTTTACCTTGTTCAAATCGACTTGTCATTAGACTAATTTATGCCATACTCAAATATGTTGACTAATCATTTCTTATTTCTTCAGGATTCTTCTGTTGTATGTATCCATTGATCTGGTGTTGATAATAGTCTTCATGAATGCATACATGAACTCTGCAAGGGGCTTGGACTTTGAATGTTTCAAGTCAATGGAGCTTTAAACAACAGCCAGTTACTGGTTTTGATCAACATTGCAAAAACAATTGAGAGACAGTGAGAGTGAGTTGCAACAACACACTTGGTGAAATTTATCTCAATTTGATTGGAGACTTTGACTTTGAGTTTTCTTTTGATGATGATCATGACATTGGTGATCCAAGATTTTATTCTTGATGATTTATTGTTGTGTACAACCTCTGGTGTTTTCTAGAGTAATATTAACTTTATAGTAGGTGTTTATTTACTAGACTAGGTCCCGTGATTTTTTACCCTTGAGGGTTTCTCATGTTAAAAAATTTGGTGTTTTGATTGTGTGGATGTGTTAAGTTCAAGTTATTAGCCTATATAC